CCAGCAATCCCACTTTTGGGCATTTACCCAAATGATCACAAACAAGACCCTACTAAAGCTACCAGCACAACTATGTTTATTGCAGCATTATTTACCATAGTTAAGATATGGAACCAACCCAGATGCTCCTCAGTAGATGAATGGATCAAGAAAATGTGGTATATATCTACTTTTTCTATAGCTTACATTTTTATTCAAAATTTTGTCAAATTTCTTTATCATATCAACAATTTTTGCTACACTCAGTCTATTGTGGAGAACATAGGTGACGTGTTTTGAGATATAACATATTATATTCATATATATCATTCTGGGAATGTTCTGTATGATCTCCTCTATTATACTCTGTTTTCCCCTATCTCCCTCCTTCTTATTTTTCAACAGCTTTATGTGGGTTTTCTTATGTCTTTTTTTTTAAATAAAGAATGTATTTCACAATATATTCACCTTACATCATTCTCTTTGCCTTCCTCTTCCCCCTCATTCTCCTTTGACAGCTCAAAAATTTACAATTATGCTTAGATATACATGTATGTACATGTATGTATATATATATATATATAAATGATTGTCTAGACTGTGCCTATGAAAGAAAATATGCAACCTTTGAACTATTGAATATGGCTTACTTCAGTTAACATAGTTATCTCCCAATTCCATCCATTTACTACAAATGTCATAATTTTGTTCTTAACACTCCATTGTGTGTTATCATATTTTATTCTTAAAAAGTTAGGTGCTAGTGGCTCAGACCTATATTTCTAGTTACTCAGGAGGCTGAGCACCTGAGGGTTATGGATCAAAGCCAGCCTAGGCAAAAATGACTGTGAGACTCATCTCTAATTAATCATCAAAAATCCAGAAGTATAGCTGTGGCTCAAGTGGTAAAGCACTAAACTTGAGCAAAAATGCTAAGATATAGTACCTCAATCCTGAATTATAGCCCAGGACTGAAATCACACACACACACACACACACACACACACGATGTTGTAATGAATGTTTTCATGTAATTTTACCTGAGTTTCTATAAAGAACATCCTGTAAGAAGAAATACTCAGGTTTAAATAAAAACACTTCCAAATTTTCTAAATCATCCTTAAGTTTATTTTTAAAATGTTAGCAAATTGCTGTGTTTATGAATTCTACTAAATTACACTAAATTAATTGAGGTCATTCCAGATTTTCCTCCCTAGGAAGAGTTGCCTCAGCCAGGCATTGGTGGTTCATGCCTGTAATCTTAGGTACTCAGGAGGCTGAGATCTAAGGATCATGGTTTAAAATGAGCCTGGCTAAGAAAGTCAACAAAACTCTCATTTCCAATTAACAACCAAAAAGCAGGGAGTGGAGCTGTAGCTCAAGTGGTAGAGTGCTAGCCTTGATCAAAATAGCTCAGAGACAGTGCTCAGGCCTTGAGCTCAAGCCCCAGGAACAACAAAAAAAAGGGAAAGTGTTGCATATTCAAAATTTTTCTATCAATGGTTTTTTGTACAATATGAGAGATAAAGGTCAGGTTTTAGTTTTCTGTGTGTGAAAATCCAATTTTTTCATTACCATTTATTGAAGAAGCTATCTTATTCCCAAATATATGTTTTTGGCATCATTTAA